TTCTTGGTGATATTTTATTAGCATTTAATTTGAACTACTCTAATAAAACTCCATTTTTAAAAACTCGCCCTTAATTCAATATTGTCACACATCTTCGTATAAATTTGTTGTAAGGCATTATTGTAATTACGTGCCCCCAAATCGCTTGCATATAATCTGGTACAATTACATCTTTCTGAAAAAGATTTTCCATTTTCCTTTAGTTTCTTAAGATTAAAGTGTCCTAACACATAAATAGAATCACTAAGGCTTAGACGTAGAGAGGAGCTGCCTGTAAGAAACCAACTAGGGAAGAATGTAGTTATTTCTACTATGACTAGATTCCAGCCCAAGACAGAGGGCAACTTCTTCTTCTAAAAACTTTAGATTCCTGTAATTGCATAAACTAGACTTTATTCATAACACACCTTCTGTACCATGCTTGAGATAGAGTGAATACTAAGTACTTCATGAATTAAGGCATGAGCGCTCATGTATCTTTTGGGTTTTCGTTTGTCTTTCGTGAAGACACCTTTTAATATCAAGAAGTCTGTATTACAATAGGAATTCTGCAAGAAGATTGTATTGAAAGCAGTGTGTTCAACCCGTTCATCCACTCATTTTTCAAACATTTTTAAGGTATACCTACTAAGGACCAGCCTGACCTAGAGAGCAGAGGAAGTCTGTGCCTCTGTACATCTCACATTTAGCATTCAAGCCACTTAACCTTTGAAAGTGACATTGATACATTGTACAGTCTTTGTCTCTTACTGTACTTTGAGTTGCTGTGTGTCTGGTTCAAATCCTGTCCCAGCCATCTCCTATGGTTATTGCTTTATGCCTGACTAGGCCACCAGTTAAAACAAAGCAGATCGTCTGGGCATAGCTCATCCCTCTTTATGTTCGTGTTTAATTTTTCACTTTGTTATACTGCTCTCACATTTTGAACATCTGCAGTACTAGGGATCTACACTTCTAAATAAAGTAGCTTTATACTAAAGGTAACACCTAATGTTTTTATTTATCTATGCTAGGCAATCCTCTAAGAGCATATGTTAGCTCTTAGATAGAGCAAACAATGAAAAGCATGGGTGCGGGCATCTAACAGCATCCATGAAATGAGTCTTTTTATTCCTGTTTTACAGGTAAGAAAACTGAGTCACACAAGGATATATTTGTGTAACACAATTTCAAAAGGGCAAACTACAGTTCTTTTTAGTGGTAAGGCCTTTTTGGCATCCCATATTTGTGAACTGTATCGATATGTTATCTGATTTGATCTGATACGTCCCTCCCATTTGTTCACATGAAAGAAGTGAGACAGATGAAGGTGAGTTTGCTTTCAGCAGCTCTGCAGGTTAAGGACTGTACAGCACTTGAACCCAGGGCTTCTGAATCCTGTTCTTGGACTCTCCCCTCAGACACATACTGCCTTCCTTTTGCTAGTCTGGCCAGTAGATCTATACTAAAGATACAGGCCTCTTAACCTGAATGGGAGATTTGGAATCATAGGGACCTGAAGCAGTTAATGCAGGAGTGTTGTAATAAAATATGTTTCATAGTCAGTCTATTTAGTCTAGGAGCTAGAGTATTCCAAATAAACAGCATCTCCTAATTAATTTTTTACTCCTGTGTTGAATTAATATCTAGGATATACTCTTGACAGCTCTAGAGCAAAAAGCCAGGTCTCCGACAAAAGAATGAGTACTAATTGGGAAATAAATCACAGTTCACTATAGCTAAAAGGAAAAAACTTCCACAAATTCATCTGTCATTTTTATTTGTTCTTTCATCATTTGTAGTACATTTTCAGGGTCTCAAAGAAGCTCATCTGTCTATGCAGGTGCTCATGGAAGCATCTTTTTTTACATATGATGAAAATTGAGAGAGCACTTCTTTTGACAGGAAACTTCACTTCTTGTTACTGAAAACCGTCACAACAGTCATTATGTCTGGCTTTAAGAGATTTCCTGGAGTTAGGAGAACAATAGACAGTTAAAATGGCAATGTCAAGAGCATTCTGGGGTTTTATAATGAGTACCAAGGGAAATTTTTTCTCTTGAGTTTGTAAGAAAAAAGTAGGAGGAATATTTGGAAACTTGGGGATATGTGGAAATGAAGGTGAATGCTCTATTTTTTTTAAATGGAGTGTTCTTTCTAACCTTTGGAAGCTGAAAAAAAATTTTTATATGTTACTGAGTTACTGGTGAAAAGGAGAAGTTTCTCTTCGGTTGTCCCTCTCCGTAGGTTAAATCATCCCCTGAAAAGACACATTTGCAGCTTTCTGTATTTTTCTTTGATTAAACATCATTTAGAGTTCTTCAATCCAGTTTTCTTCTCCTTGTTACATATGTACACTGCTTCTAGGGCTTATGATTTCTAATTTAGCAGCAGGAGTTACTTCTCTTTTCCCTCTACCTCCAAAAAAAGATGACTCAAGCATTAGGAATATGTTTTTTGGCTTATTGTGTAATTCAAATGTGTATTTGTAGTTGTTCTATTTTTAATCTTAATTTACATAGCCCTAATATGATTTCTAATTTCTAATAAAGTTTTTGAGGTACTCATGTCTAACACACTAAAAGTACAGACTTCATAAACAATTTATGTGACCTGCTGTTTTCATTTCTGAAGTTTCTTGCTTGCTGCTAGAGCGGTGGATGGTTTTAAAGATCCCTGTGTTAGTTACACATGGATCCCTGAATGGTAAAAAATAACCTGCTATCTTTATTTTGGAATATCTAATAATGCAAAGGCAATTATCAATTATTAACATGTTTTAAATATATGAGTAGAACATTCCTTGTTTTAAAAATTAGTCAACATTTTAAGATGTTATGAGGTAGAAATAAAAGTCTTCCTTTTGTCTGAATCCTAAATATCATTCCTTAGAGGTAACCACTGTTAAGTCTCTACAGATTCTACCAGAAATGACCTAATGTTCTATTTGTATACAAGCATACATACACATATACATAATACCTATACACATATAACACACATCTACGATTATATGTGTATCTGTAAATACATATATGTCACACTATGTATTAGCAATATAGCTTGGACATCTGTTCACATCAGTTCGTATATATCCATCTCATTTTTAATGGCTATATTGTATTCCATTGTGATGGTTAATTTAGCTTACCTTCTGTTTTTTGACCATTTAGCTTACCTTCTGTTTTTTGACCATTTAGGTTTTTCCAGTTTTATCTTATTGCAGACAATGCTGCAATAAATATTCTTGAATATATCTTTTTGCATTTTTATAAATATATTTGTAGGATACAGTCAAAGCAAGGGAATTATTGGTAAAAAAAAAAAAAAGTATGTCCATTTTTAGCATCACTAAATATTGCCAATTGTGCTCCAAAGTGACTGCCCTAATTTATACTTTCATCAACAGTGTATAAGAACGTCGTGTTTCTCCACACCCTTGTCAACAATGAATGCGACAAAAATTTTAGTTTATAAATATAATCAGTAAAAATAGTATCTTATTTTAATTGTCTATTGCTGCTATATTTAAGGTTCACTTGAGCAAATGCCTACCAAGCACTTACTCTGTGTCATTGAAATGGCAAATGGCAATCAAAAATTGTACTTGTCCTTAAGGAGCCATGGAATTGAATAAGAAGCCTCTTTTTAGAAGAAATTCAAAAGTTGCAAAGATAGAAAAGTGGGTCTTTTGCACCCTACCAACAGGAAATAGTTGTCTAATAAAGATAGTGTCCACCCATGTCAACTTTCAGTTCTGTTGCTGGCCTAAATTGGCAACTCTCTGCTTCTGCAACAGTGGCCTTGCTTTCATTTTGGAAGACAGTTGGCTGCAGGTAGGAGTAGAAATGCCTATCTAGTAGCTTTTGTTTTCTCCAGGACCTGAGTTGGTTATCTCACTGGTTGCTTTTAAGAGAAAGCACCCACTGTTGGCTTCTGTTCTGAAAGGGGCACCAGGCAAACATGGAATCATATCAGCAGAGCAAGCCAAAAGCTCAATAAACTGTTTATTCATTGTTCAAGATTCTTCACCTGTATGGATTATTAGAAGAAGTATTTCATCTTAGGGTACCCAGATTAGATTATAGACACTTCAAGTATTTCTTTAGAATTCACTGAGGGGGAAAAAAAAATAGGGAAAACAGCATCAGTCATTTGGGACCATGTTGGTTCCTGATGCTAAAATAATCTATATGAATAAACTACATTCTGTAAATTGAAATATCTGGTTTCCAGTGTGTTAAATAAAAACAGGAAGATCTGAAGTACATGGCAAAATGGGATAAGCTTGGTTTTCTGAGTGGAGGCAGCTATTGATAATTTTACTTCTTATAGTTGAAAGTGAAGGAGATTTGAGGTTCTCTGAGAATTAAAATTCCCCTGGAGTTAGCCCAAGGTGGGACCCTCAGAGCTGTATACTCTCGTGCCATTGCCTCAAGCCTGTGGACATTTTTTCACCTTGGGGTAAGAAACAGCTCCAGTTTGCCCAGTTGCTGTGTGTGTTCCAGGCCAGTGTCCAATGAGGCTGACTTGGCAGCTGCCCTTCCCACAGCCAGCAGCCAATCCCTAGTGTGTTTTAAAAGATAAGCGACAAAAAGCCAACCCTTTTAGAGAGGCTGGAACAGGCTAGTAGTTGCTAGGCAAGTTAAAGTAATTCAGTGTCCTTGCCAAACGTCTGCCATGCAAATAAGGAACTTTCAGGGAAGGAAAGTGAGATGGTGGTGTGTGTTGGTTGCCATAGGAATGTTTCCCTGATTGGAACAAGACCACAGAGTGAGGAGAGCAAGACGGCAGCATCTACGGTGCTTTCTGCTTGGGAATGGGAACCCAGAGTGGGCAGTGGAGCGGAGGCAAGCCATGCAGAGGCAGGAGCAGATGAGACCCTAGATGCCATGTGAAGCTAAAAACGTGGGGAACAGAAAGAGCAGATTAACTCAGGAAAATTATATGGGGAGCTCTTATGCTACTCTGAAGATCTGAGACTTGGAGAATTTACAATCCCAAATTAACTCAGGGAAAATTCCAACTAGACTCTGAAATGAATTAGATGGAGATTTAAAATAGGGCAATTTAGTAGGAAAAGATACTTAATTTGAAGGTAGGTATTTTGTATTTATGTAAATATTATGTCAGATTGTCTTTATTTTAGCTGTTAAAGGTAGTAATTAAATATTTGTTAACGAATTATAGTGCTATAATTATCAAGTTCTGATTTATAGGGTAAAAAACCACAGCTGACCAAATTGTGTGAAACCTTGAACCTCAGACCCTCAGACATGGGCTTACTGCCGCATTAACACTCTGTGCATCTGGTGGTAGCTTCCAAAATGATAGCTGAGGGTCTGAGTGGAAATAAATGGCTTTTAGCAAGTGTTGAACCTTGAATGTGCTATTTAACCTCTCTGAATATGAGAGGTGTATAGCTGTCTCTTATCTCACTTAAATGATTTGAGCATAGATGCTCTTCTCATTTGAATACAGTTTTGGGGGTGGGTGGGGATGGTATCAGATCCTAGGGTACATGCTATGATAATGATAGGCTTAATTATCAGTCAGTATGGTTTAGGACAAAGGTCTTCTTTTGATCACAATCTTAAGAAACCTTTCTTTAATAGATAGTTTTACTTGTACATATGAAGTATATATAAATTTATCATTTCCCATATATTTGATTCATGTTCAGAGGGTATTTTAAATAGTATCTTTTTCAGAATGTACATGTTTGGATTATATATTGCTATTTCTTTCCTTTTTATGTAGTTTCTTTTTGTGGTCAGGTAAAAGAAGAATAAAGGGATGTGATATTTAGTATCAAATATTTGAAGTATAGTCATTGTTCTGTTTCAGGGCTGTTTCCCTCTATCAATTCCTTTGATATGGAACTCCAATGTCATTTTTACTTTACCATTGGCCACATGCTGGCTCACTGACATCAATTAACTAATCTGAGGCAAATTTATAAACCAAATGCCAAATTTTAATTTACTGAGAGAATATAATCTAATAAGAAAGACTACCCTTGGGCTCTTCACATAGTGAACCCTAGTGTGGTTTTGATAAAGAAGCCCAAGTGTATACTAACTATAATCTTTTCTTTAAAAAAGTGGTGGTCTTATCGAGACCCTCCAGAATCTAGAGTAGCATCATGCAATAAAAATGTAATATAAACCTCAAGTATGAGCTTTATATGTAATTTTAAATTTTCTAATAGCCACATTAAAAATGAAATGTGAAATTAATTTTAGCTGTATATTTTATGTTGCTTAATATATTCAGCATATTATTTCAACATGTACAGTTGACCCTTGGTATCCATGGAGAATTGGTTCCAGGACTCCCCACAGATACCGAAATCTGTGGATGCCCAAGTCCCTTATATAAAATGATGAGGTATTTGCATATAACATGTGCATATCCTCCCATATATTTTAAATCATCTTTAGATAACTTAAAATACCTAATACAATGTAAATGCTATGTAATTGTTGTACTGTATTATCTTTTGTTTTTGTTTTTTTTTTTTAATTTACTTTTTAAAAATATTTTTACTGGGCAGTTGGTTGCATATGCAGAATCCATGGATATGGAGGGCTGACTGTAATTAATATAATGAATTATTAATGAGATATTTTGTATTTTTAAAATACAAAGTCTTGAAAGTCCAACTGAGATGTGCTGTAAGCATATTTTACACTTACAGCACATCTCAACTGGGACACTGAAGTTTCATGGACAGGACTTGATCTGTACTTAGATTAAAACTTACAGTAGAAAAAGTAGATTCACATACCCAAGTCATTCTAAACATACAAATCAGTTGTCCAGTAACTGAATCGGCGTCCATTTCTACATTTAAATTTAATTAAAAATAAATAAAATTTAACATACAATTCAATTCCTGATTGGCACTAGCCATGTTTTAAGCACTCAGTAACCACCTGTGGAGTGGCTGCCATGTTGTGTTGGACAGCACAGAGAGGACTGCTTTCTCTAACCTTTTCCTTCACTCCTGCATGTCTCAGATGGGAAGACTTGTGTGAGACCTCTGATGGGAAGAGAATCTCATTTTGAAAGTATGGAACCACAGACAAAGAGTTGACTTTCTTAAAAGGAAGTTTCCATTCAGACTATATTAGAACCTGCCTGGCAAGGAGTTATCTGTCTGGTAGACCACACTATCTCCACCCTTGTTCCTAAATACACCCCTCATTGTCTCCCCAGCAGATAAAAATATGCCAACCTTGTGTCAAGGTTGCCTCCCTCAGGCTCCGCTTGTCCTCCACTGCAGGCTGGCTCATTTCCATTACGTCAGTGTATTTCCTGGTTATAGGCCTCCTTTATCTTTTTCATTGTTTCAATTTCCACATTTGGCCTTAATTTCTATGTTACCTCAGTGCAGCATTCAAATGTTTAAGTTCCAGTTTAGTTCTTAATTAAGGTCATGTATATCAAGGTCAATGTTATGTTAATTTGAATAACAGACATTTCCTTTGCCCCTTGCTCCAGATTTCTAGAGTGGCTGGGCTAAGAAACTTTACTTCCTGTTCACCAAGGCAGGTATCTTGCTTTGGGCATATCGGGACTCTTGAATATAATCACTCTGTGGTGAATCAGTCAGACCTGTGAACTTTAAAGAACTTATCTGTTCCCTGGAGAGGAAGAATTAAGCAATACTAATATCAGGTGGATGAATAAAGACTTAGCCTTGCTAGAAGTTTTGCCCCACACCTTTGCTTGGGCGTGAAACTTGGTTGGCACATAGTATAACAGTAACTTTGTCACCCATAGGTTAAAGAGCCCAGAAGTCTGTCACTTTCTGTTGGGTACCTGGCATTTGCAAAGGACATCACTGATGATAAAATTCATCCACTCTGTTTTGAATATGTCAAGTGAAAAGCACTTACATTGCTTTTTTTGGATCTGGAGAATGAACCTAAGGATGGGCCCTTGTCCAAGACAGTTACAAGTCCCCCCTTCATAAGAAACTTCGTTTGGAAATTAGGAAATAAATATTTGACCTGTTGAATCATTTTAAATTAACCTGACTAGAAATGCATATTGTGCTCCTTCCTTATTACCATCAGAATCAAATTATTTTAGAAACAGGTAAGGCTTTGTAGAAAGAGGATCTGTACTGCCTGTAAACCTTGGATGCCAGTCCCAAGTCTATTGGCTGTGAGGGCTGTGACACCAAGAAAGCCATTAAGTTGTTCTTGGCCCCACTTCTCACCTGTCAAGTGAGAGAACTGGACTAGATGATCTTAAAGCCTTTTGGTCATCACATGGTTTCATCATCTACTCTAATCTCATAGTTTCTTGGGTGCATAAACAAAGGCCTGCAAAGTTGCTTTCTAAGATCCCATAGCAAATGTGAGGCAGGTCTTAGGTTCTCAGTCACTTGCTTTGTCTACTTCAGGACGCTTCATTGTTCACTTAGAGGTTAGGCTTGAACCAAATAAAAATATCCAGAGGGATAGCTGATTCTCTGTTCTTCCCATAATGTCACTTTGTCTGCTCATATTGAGGTTGTTGGCCAAACATCTAAAATCCACAGGTTACCTGTTAATTTTTTGCTTCCTTAATATAGCTGGCCAGTAATTCAGGTCAGATACCTCTCTGGCATAAAGTTTCCAATGACCTCCTATTTCAAACAAAACAGGCTGGATGCAGTGGCCCATGCCTGTAATTCTAGCACTTTGGGAGGCTGAGGTGAGTGGATCATTTGAGGCCAAGAGTTTGAGAACAGCCTGGTCAACATGGTGAAACCCTGTCTCTACCAAAAATACAAAAATTAGCCAGGTGTGGTGGCATGCACCTGTAATCCTAGCTATTCAGTAGGCGGAGGCACTAGAATCTCTTGAACCTGGGAGACTGGGGCTACAGTGAGCTGAGATTGCACCACTGCACTCCAGCCTGGGTGACACAGCAAGACTCCACCCTGCTTCTCTCCAAAAATAAAACAAAGTGAAGCATTACATTAGTTCTTTGCTAGTGAAGATGCATGATAACAAAAGAAAAAGCAGTAGCTGGGATGCAGAGTTAAATTTGCTCAAATATTTTCCATTAAAACAGTAACTACAATAAACAATAAAAACCAGAAAGGACCCTAGTAGCTGCTCTGGTTGAAGTTCCCGGTGTAGGTTGGAGGCCCACTTCCAAGTGTTGGAGTATCACTCATGGACAGGAAGCAGAACCTGACTTTCTTGGGAAGGCTTCTTTTAGGGGCCAAACCCAGGGACTTAAATTCTTCTTTAGCCTGTCATTCAATGAAAAAGGCCAAGAGTGCCAAGGAAAAGAAACTTGTTGATTGTTATATACAAGGCCTTCTAAGTATTTTAAATATAATGGCTCATTTAATTCTGTAACCACCCTGTAAATAGATGTGCATTATTTCCACTTTACAGATCAATAAAAGTTATGTAGCTTGTCTAGAGTTACACAGTATGTGATCAGGGATTTTATTTAGCTCTAAAATCTGATTGTTTTCCACTAATAGCCAATAGCAGATAATAATATGTAGACCCCAGTGATTTCATTTCAGTTCCACTGAATTTGAAGACAACTGCTATCAGTGTGTAGGCACCAACATAAATTATAGCCTAAAACTAGAGGTGGATACAGTAATTGAGTAGATTTTGTTAAGAAGCAGAGGCTATTAACCTGCATCACAGATCTTTTGAAGACATTAAAAGCAAAAATATTAAAGGTTTTTTTGTTTTTTTTTTTTTTTTGCAATTGACACATTTACATACATATCCACTAATCAGCATTGTTGGTGAGTGACAAAAGGTGTGTGAATCCCAAGTCGGATTTAACTTTCTTTTTTTGGGGCTTGCTTCTTTTGGGGCAAAATACAGTGCTATCATTTTGGTTTTTAAGTAATCTTGCTGTTTGGGCTTGTGGCTCTTTTATCCTTTGGGTCAATGAGAGGATGATATTTGCAATCAGTGTCCCTCCTAAAGACATGGAAACTGTTCCAGTTAATTGGTGCTGCATGACAAACCATTCCAAAACTTAATGTCAGCCACAACCATGTGTATTTGACTCATGAATCTGCAATCTAGCCAGGGCTCAGCAGGGACAACTCATCTGTGCTCC